TCAAGTGGAAAGAAATCATCTGAAGAACCACCCTGTTCAGATGATACTTGTATCAGCTCTGAAGGAAATTCAAGTTCTGGAGATTTCCAATGTGCTCAAGATGGTCTTTTCTGTGTTATTGATGGAGTGCATAATAAACAGTACTATGAATGTGCAACAACATTCAAAGGATTTAGACCATGTGCCTCAGGAACCTGGTGCCAAGGAGAACAAGAAGGTCCTTACCAATATAACCCATGTGTCTGGCTTGACCAAACAACTTGGTTTAATAAAAAAAATAATAACAATGAAAACAAGTAATTGTTTTCATCTATTAGTATCAACTTAATTGATATTTATTAAATTTGTTAATTTCAAAACAAAAGGTTTAATTAGTTAATTAAGCACAAATATTCCATAACTTATTACTTCCTTCTTTATCATAACTATAACTGAAATCGATTCTAGTAAATCCCTATTAACTAATTAGTATTACTTTGCTTAATTCAAACAAAAAAAAATAACAAACAACAGGGGTTTCTCCAGTATTTTTATGAATTTCAAAATAATCTCTCAAAACATCATATGTCATTAAACTATAACCACAGTCTGCAGTGCCTTTGTTTGATAATGCTGGATCAAACATGTTTTCTAACATTGTAATTGTAAAATTTGTTAATTTGAAGATAGACCCAGCGCCATTCATTAGTTCTACGTCAAACATACCAAATACTGAATTAACACAATCAATGAAAGGTCTTCCATCACTATCACTTCTGATATAATAATTTTCATTTTCAACAAATGGACAATTATTCTTTCCATAATATTTTTCACAAATACTCATTTTAATATTGAGTTTTGTAGGTGATGTAATATTTCTAGGGTCTTCTGGTTTCCAATACCAAAACCCAACTCCACCACACTTATTAAAATCATCTAACTCACTCCTATCTCCTTCCCAGTACATTTTACTTTGTCCGAAACCTTCTCCTTTAGACTCTTTTACTATAAAACCAAGTAAGTCTTGATTCCACCCAACAATAATTACATTCTTTATTCTCCCTGTAGCTTTTAGTGTTGGTGTTGCCAAATATTTTCCAGCTTGTGTTAATGCTATTTCTCTTGTGGCACTATCAGATTGAATGACATTTTCTGTTGAAGAAATAAGTGGTCGAATAGTACATTCATCAAACGTCATCCACAAAGGGACTTTATAAACCATAATAAGACGTTGAGCTTCCGTTATAGAAGTCGTAAATTGCATAGAACTAGGAATTGAGTCAACAGTAATTGGGACAATTGTAGATGATGAGTTATTTTCTATATACAAATCAATAACACAATGGAAATGTTCAAAAACCATAGGAACAATATTGACACCATTAGAACTAATGAAGGACTTGCAACTATCTTCATTACTATGTTCATTACAATAACTTTTGATGCATTCTTGAATCTTAGGACCAAAGAATTTTACATTAGGAATACACTTACCTTTCCAAATTCCTTTGGTTCTTAAGAACGTCAAAAAATGGGTTTCTAAATAATCAGAAAAAGCAGAAAAAATAGACGTACTATTTTTTGGAGGAGTTAATTCTGTTTGAGCAATAGAATAAGTGTCTATTAGATTAAAATTAAGGTCGTTTCGTGCTTTAAAATCAACAACCCCACCAACCAGTGAGAAGAATGAAATTATTGATAAAATAATTAACAAAAATTCAAATAAAATTAAACTAGACCACAAAGATATTAAACTCCAACTCTTGTGTGAACACATTTTATAATGAAAACAACTCATTTATATTTCTATAATTTTTGAGATGTAATATTCTTTTTAACTTTATGAAAATACACAAACCAAAAAAAAAATTATTATGAAATAATCATTTTAACATTTCAATAAACTAAGGATAATCTTTTGGTTGGTATTAGTGGTTTATTCTTCTAAAAAGTATTCCTTAAAATTGAAAAGTAAATAGTACTAGTCTATTATTTATGTTTGATATACCAATGTCTATATAAATTAATCTAATAACTCTTAATGTATTGAATTTGGCATATAACCTATTAATTACCAAATTCATTGCTATGAACTTTTCAACTTTTTTAGCTGTAGAACTTCTTTTACTACTTTAATGTCTAGCAATAAAACTTATCTCATTTAATTTAATAAATAAAAATAAGATAATTAATTATATTAATCCAATACAACTCTCTTTCGTTCTATATGAATTATTTAATATTATTGAATGAAAGTAATTTGTATGTTGAGTTTTTTAATCTATTTTTTTTTAACTTTTATCAAATTCAATCCTTTTTAGGTAATCGGGTAAAGAACTAATTAGAACCTAAACTTATTAAAATTTCTGAGGCTTGAATGAAAAAGTAGGACTATATAATGTGTGTATCATAAATTAATTTAAAGTTATTGATAAATACATTTTTTTAGTTTATATTTGAATCAAAAAACACTTTTTTTTTATTAAGCAACATTTATTAATTGTATTTAAACATTTATAGAAAAATAATAACAATTTGTTTAAAGTTTAAATTCAAAAGTGGAGAAAAATAAAAAAGAGATTTGAGAAGAGTTTTCTAAGTTATTAATTTCTTTTGAACAAATTTTGATTATGATAATATATTATTAGTAATGAAATCTTTTGTATAGGATAAGTCTGTTATAGACATTTAACTGAATAAATAATTAGTTAATTAAATTCTAATAAGTAATATTTAAATAATTAAAACGTCTATTTGATGAATCAAATTAAAAAATTGACTGTTTATTGAATAATATAACTGATAGGATTTGTTTCTGGTACTGTATAATTTTTGTAAATAAATTTATTTGGACAAAAACTAATATCAAAACCTTTAAAAGAACTAGTTAACAAAATATAATTAAACATTTGGAATTAGTTATGTTACACAAAAAATTCAAAGCTTGTGTAATGAAGTTTTATTCAAATTAATAATGAGAATTAAGAAAAATGGAGAGGTGAGAGACTAGAACTGTATATACTTTAACAGACTTTTAATGAAATTAGAATAATAAAAAATTAAACTAATAGAAAAATGATGAAGTATTTACCATCAAAAAAAAAATCTCATTAACAAAAAGATTAAATCTTAACTAATAATTCACTATAATTGTATGCAACTTGTTGATTCGTTTGAAGGTTTGGATTACTTTTTTATTGTTAATTATTCTTTCTTATTGAATAGAAGAAAATAGAATTTGGAGCGTAGATTATTCACCAAAAACTAATTTAATCTATACATCTTCCATAACACCTTATGTTTGTTTTATTGAATTATTTACTGCCAATCCAATCTAACACATAGGTCCACATTTACTCATTGGAGTCATTGAAATTAGTTCCTTTAAAGCCCTTACTTACACCTCATAATCGAACTATCAGAAGAGTTAAATGCAGCAAAAATGGATTATTAGCTTGTTGTAGTTTCGATTCAACTGTCAGTCTATGGGAATTAAATGAAAATACTATAATTGGAACATTAGAAGGTCATGAGTCGGAAGTAAAATGTGTTGATTGGAGTTTTGGGTCAAACATGGTTGCTACTTGTTCAAGAGATAAATCAGTTTGGTTATGGAAATCGTATTCTGGAATTGATTATGAATGTTGTAGCGTCTTAACTGGACATAATGGAGATGTTAAAACAGTATTATTCCATCCATCAGGGACAATACTATTTAGTGGTTCATTCGATGGAACAATAAAAGTTTGGAAAGGAGAAGAAGAAACTGAGTGGAGTGAATTACAGACAGTTCAAGCATACGGAAAAACTGTTTGGGACTTAAAAATAACTAAAGAAGGTAAGTTTATAGTTGCTGGTTGTGCTAATGGAGTGATTATATTATATGAATTTAAAGACAACCTCTTAGTAGAATTAGATACAATTAATAATGAAAAGTATAGGGATATTTATTCTATTGATATAAATGACAATAATGTTTTAGTAGGGTCAGGAGATAATGCAATCAGATTATTTAAAATAGTTTGTTTCATTTCTATTTTAATAAATACAATAATACTCACAAGTAATAGAACACTATTAAGAAAAAGTTAGAACTTATTGAAGAAAAACAGGAGGCCCATACCAATGACGTAAACTGTGTCAAGTGGATCAATAAAACTCTATCAATTTCTGTAGGAGATGATAACATGCTGAAAATCTGGAAATTTGTCAATTAAAAATATTTCATATTATAAAAAAAAGACCATAAGAATTGAATTTGAACTTTGAAAA